TTTAGTATATTTTGAGGTCCCTTAAGATTAAAGATATTTGTTATGTTAGTGTATTGAAACTGCTAATCTTTGATAAAGTTGACTTCTTAATTTTAACTGCTCAGTTATTTAAGTATTCTGGGTGGAAATTTTCATTGGTGTTCTACTGGAAAGATTGATCTTAATATAAGTAACTGTTTTCAGACAAGTTTTTTATAACTGGTTCTATTACATTGGATATAATTGTAAGAATGGGAAATATTGAGAAGGATATCTTACTTTACCCCCTCACATTTCAGTTTAGCCCTTTATTAGATCTAAGACTGTAAAAACTTTTATAATATTTCATTTTTATAATTGCATTTTCCTGATTTTGCACAAGTTGATCTTTTATTTTTTAAAATTAAAATGTGTCATACATTTTTATTCCTTAAACTGTGTATTTATATTTACTCATTAAACTGATAAAACATATACATCCATAGGAATCACATTGGTACCCAATATTAAGTCTGAACCTTAGTAGAATAAAGTTACGATGAATACTATGAAGTGGGTAATTGTTTCTATCTCATAGAGTTATTAGAAGTATAATATTTTCATCACTACTCTTCTTCATTCAACTACATGCAGCATAGTTCTAATTTTCTCACCTTCTTCAAAGCCTGTGTAAATACCATTGTCACAATATTAAAAATATAAATCAAAAGTGGATAATTTGGATATGTAACATATAAATAATGTGTTACATTTAAATATATTAAACAATCATCAAAATTGTGTTGCCAAAATTCAGCTCAAATAAATCAATATTCCTTTTTGTCCTAAGCCAAACTTTCAAACAGTAGGTACATCTAGCAGTCTAGAATAACCAAACAAGGAATAATTATAGATTAATGTGTAAGAAAATTAATGTAAAAAATGCATTAAAGTAAAAAATCTCTAACTTCTCTTTTCCTCTAACCAGAGAAATTCAAACATGGTTTGGTCCATGTGAAAAGACTATAATTTTAACATGTAGAAATTCATATGACCTTAAATATTTAAGTATTGTGTAGTTTGAAATGCAACCTTAAAAAATCATTGACAAGTAATGATGCTTACCCTTAGATATAGAAGCCTTAATTTATTTATTTTAATCTTTGGTTGTGTTCTAAAATATATAAAAATGGATTATATTCATTCCTACATATAAGGAAAGATTGGTTTTCAAAAAGTTAACCTTTCATTGGCAGTAATTGAGCCTGAAACATGTTTCAGGTATCAGTTAAAGAATTCTATACAATAGAATAGAAACTAGAATGAGATTCTGCCAAGCCATTTTTTTGACACTATATTATCCCTTCTTACATAGACTTTCTCTACTGGCCCCTGAGGTCAATCAAAAGAGCTACTAGAATGTCTTGGTATTAGAAACATGAAAATTAAGCTGGGCATGGTCAGCATATTGGGAGGCTGAGGCAGGAGGATCCCAAGTTCAGGGCTAGCTTCAGCAACTTAATGAGATTCTGTCTCTAGAAAAAAAATAAATTAAAAGGGCTGGGATGTGGCTCAGTGGTAAAAATTCCCTGGGTTCAATCCCTCATACTGAAAAGGGGAAAAAAAAATACTGAGCTGAAAATTAGAAATTAAATTACCAGCCTCAAATACTTTTCACAGTGAGATAAGATATAAATGAATGTTTTATAAATTGTTAAAACCAATATTAATTTTAAGATATTTATAGAAAAGGAAGAAATGTATAAAAGGTTTGTAAGTTAAAATAAGTCTTTCATAAATACTTAGAGAAAGACGAGTATGGTGGAAATGTAAAGTACCATAGTGCATTTTATCAAAAACAATGGGTTTACTTAAAATTATATCATATAAATGAAAAAAGATATTTTTTAAGGCTTTTAAATCCCATAATCAGGGTTTGTGATTTTAAGTGTTTAGTTAATTAGTATGAAAACTCTCTTCATAAGATCATGAGAAAGTACAAGTAAAAAATATAGTTTACTTTTTCATTTTTAAAAAATAAACAGTGGTCCCTCTGAAATAGAAAGTTAAGTCTGCTTAAGAAACATATACACCCTAAGCAAATAAAGATAATGGACTTAATTTGTTCTTTATTTCAAAGAATTCAGATTGTTTCACTTAGCATGTTAGTTTTGATAGATTTTTTTTCTTTGAAATGTATTAACCTGTGTGTACATGTTAATGTGGGCAGGGGAATGTGTGTGTGTATATGTGTGTGTATACATAAATCACATTACCTTTTTTTTTTTTTTAAATGTTAGGTTATTTTCAACGGAAGGGCCACATGTACCATGATATGAAATGGTGCCTTGAGAAGTTTTTGTGTGCCATAGAAAAAACAAGCTGTAGATATTGTTGTATGTTTGTATTTAATTATAATAAATTTGTTCAAGTAGGATATAGTGAATACCATTTTGGAACATTTAATAAGCTATCATAGGGTTATGACATTCAGTAGTAGGCATTTTTAGTTAAGGAAAAAATTAAATCTGCTTGTCTTATTTATATTTCAAGCCTATGTTGCCTGTTTATGTTTTTAAAAATCAAACATTTTAATATTTTAATTATCATATTTAGTTGTTATCCTGCTATTACATGTGAATGATTTGTATCAAATAAAACTAATATTAATAGTACATTGTTTATAAATTCATGTTGCTATTTGGTATAAGAGATAAGAGATGACAGTGTTATTTTAAAATATGAGTAATATACCATGACAATTATATGCTTAAAATCTGAATGATACGTATGTGAAAAACAGCTATTCCTATTTCTGTTCCTAACAATGACACTGAGCTCAATGTTACTTTTGGTATTTTTTTTATAAGGAATATCCAAGGATTTAGAAATGCTATTTAGCAAAAATAATGTTTACGACTCTTATAGAAGTCATTGAGTCCTGCCAGTATTAGCAGGTTTACATGGGCAGAGAATGTTAAGGATATTTGCCACCTGGCCATTTGGAAAAGAGGAATGGCAGATATCAAATTTTGGCCTAATTCATTATGATTCACAACTTTTACTGGGAATGATTTTAAGCCACAGAAGGATACGTATATATTTACCTCTAATTGTTTTCCATTCATTCAGCAAATATTTACTTAGAGATACCTAATTGAAAAACACTCCATTGATGACAAAGAGGTTGCAAAAGTGAGTCAGATATGGGCCCTGTTTCTAAAACTTCCCTTCAGTGAAGAAGGTCTTATGTTTGTAAATTTAAAATATAAGATGTTAAATGATTAATATCATATAAAAATATGTAGATAAAGAATTATGGGAATTCAGAAGAGGGAAAGTGATTTAAAACTGGGGAAATTGTGAAAATTTTAATTGGTGAGGTATCATTTGAGATATGCCTATTAAAAAATACATCTGTAAAAGTGATACTTTCTTTATATATTCTCTAAAATCAAGATTTTTGCCAAATTGTTGTTACTGAATGAAAAATGATTATAGAGTTAATATTTACATATACGCAGCCCACCATGAAGCATTTTGCACTACTGATTGCTATAGTGTATTATCAGACTAGTTAACTGTATAAATGTCCTCTTTCTGTGATAACAGACATAAAAGCTTGTTTTAGAGATTGCTAGTTTTTTTCATTTGTGATTTTCTCTTGTGCAACTCAGTGTTTGTGACTATGTGCCTGTTCCTTCCATTGTCTTTATTTGTGTAGGTTCTTCATCACCACACAATTCAGATGAAGAACAAAAAGTGAATAATTTTATAGAAAAGGGTATAGTATCTTTATTTTAAGTCTTTTCTTTTATTTATGTTTAATTAATTTAGTTTAATTTGAGTAGATTTTGACATTTTATATCAAAATATTATTTTCAGTGAAGACCAAAAGCAGAAAGTTTTCCAAGATGGTAGCCAGTGATATAGGTAGGAAATAGAAATTTCTATTTTGTTTCTAATCCTTGCTATATGCAATGCTAACCCAGCAGCAGAAAATTATCCAATACATTGCATTTTGTATATATTAATTGTTATTCCTATTCAAAATAATAATCTCTTGGGCTCTGTGTCTTCTAAACTCATTTGGGCAATAATTATTAAAAATCAGTTAAATTGGGGCTACAGTTCTTTCTTTCACAGTGTGAATTATTCTGATAATTTTTATTTTTGCTTTATTTTAAAATAAAGCAGGGTTCAATTTAT